TGACTTGGCCCTTCACATACAGGATAACGTCCTGCCATTTAAATGGTCTATAGGAATGGCTTTAAGTATCTGGGTATTAATATTACAAGGGACATGCAGAAACTTCATCAGGAAAACTTTTGTCCACTGTTTGAAAAAGTCAAATTAGATCTGAAGAGATGGAAATCAGTTCACCTAGCTTTAGCAGGAAAAGTGAAATGTATAAAAATGAACGTGCTCCCCAGATTTATTTATTTGTTTCACTGTATTCCACTTTATTGCTGCAAATCTTTATTTAAATCAATTGATAAAGTGTTCACATCATTTATATGGGACGATAAGAAACCAAAAATCAGGTTGGAATTACTACAGAGATCCAAAATAAAGGGTGGACTGGATCTTCCAAATATTTGTCACTATTACTGAGCAGCAAATATTAAGAAATTTTATTTATTGGCTTCACTCTCCACATACTAAATGGTGCCATCTGGAGGCCACATCTTGTCTCTCATCATCCCTTGGGGCTTTGGTCTCCTCAGACTTCCCCATCGCTCCCTCTGAATTCACCAACAACCCAGTCACCATTAATACGCTCAAAATTTGGTCCCATTTTAGACAGACTTTTGGTTTCAACGGGCTTCTCTACACCAGCCCTATTCTTAATAATCAACTCTTCCTCGCAGGTAAATTAGACTCTGGATTTATTGCTTGGTGAAGACGAGGGATATATACACTTAAGGACTTATGCATGGTATATTTACAAGTTTTGAAACTTCTCACTGAAGTTTAGTCTTCCTCGGTCTGACTTGTTTTGTTATATTCAAATCTGACACTTTCTCAAGTGTCATGACCCCAACTTTCCAAACATATTGGTGTCCTCTCTAGAAGATTTGTTAAATACCCCTCAAAAAAGAAAAATAATAATTTCAAGAATAAATTAATTTATAGCTTTCATGAAAAATGTATTGCTTAATGATATTGGGGCTGAATGGGAGAATGAGTTGGGGGAGGAGTTGGAGGAGGATTGCTGGAACAATGATTTACAAAGAGTAAATGAAATGTACTTTTTGTGCTAAACTTGGCATAATACAATTTAAGGTTCTACATCGCAGTCATTATTCTAAAGCAAGTCTGGCAAAATTTTCCCCCAACGTAGAAGCTGTGACAGATGTCATAATACTCCTGCAAACTTAACTCATAGGTTTTGGTCATGCCCCTCCCTGAGTACCTATTGGATGGTGATCTTTAAAACATTGTCAGAGTGGTTAAATATTAATCTACAACCCAATGTAGCAATGACCATATTTTGTGTCAGTAATAGGAATTACCTCACAATTAGGAAAAGTCATACACACATTATTGCGCTCACAGCTTTGCTTGCACGCAGAAAGATATTATTACATTGGAAATCCAAAGACCCACTTAAAGCCAGTCTATGGCTAGGAGATCTGATGTGGTTTATACAACTAGAAAAGATTAGACGTACACTAAGAGGGTCTAGGGATAAATACTTCTCTATCTGGAATCCAGTGTTGACATATTTAGACAGACTCAAACAGACTCAAAGCCATGCCTTCTTAATCTCATCAAGCAGGGTTATATATATATATTTTTTAATTAATATTTTTTGGTCTTAACTATGGTTGCCCATGCAAAATATTTTGAATAGCCGGTCTGGGAAGCTCAGTCCTCACCTCCTTCTACAGGTGTGCAGTGGAGAGCATCCTGTGCTCCAGCATCAATGTGTGGCATGGAGGCTGCACAGCTGCAGAAAGAAAAGCTTTGCAGAGAGTGGTGAAGGCTGCACAGAAGATGTTGGAGTGATGGGTCTGACGACACTGAAACCTCGGTGCATGCGCGAGCAAACAAGATGAAGCCCCGTGTCGGTGCACGTATCTCTTTAAGGAAAACCACGTGACGGATACAGCTACTGTATCGTTTGGTTCTGAACGTGCCAAATTGTATTTATAAGTGAGAAAATGTATCAACACGCTCGTGGGTTTTGTTGGATGGAAATGGTTTGTGTTCTTTGCTTTGCATTGGTTTTTGGCTCGTCATCGAATACCACGGATCAACCAAGGAAGAGCAAGTTTTTCTCCCACGTGGGATCGTTTTAATCTTATTACAGAGAATAAGGTAAATGATTATTCCGTTCTAGTTTCCACTACTGATCATTTTTCTTTCGAGTTATTCTAATTTCTTTCTGAAGGACATTTGAATTAGTTTACATGGGTTAACTTTTATTTCTGTTGTAGGTGAAATGTAGGATTTTCTCCCAGGTGCTGTCTTATCGAGGTACAAAGATGCATCTCTGAGGCGAGCACACCAAGATCACAGGATTTACTACAATACTGGAAAACAAATATTAAATTACTCTACCTTATACAAACTTGCAATGAAATTTCTATGTAAGCCGTCATCATCAGTGTCCTGTGAAAGGGTGCTCTCAAAAACAGGAGAAATTGTTTGTAAACGACACAATCGCCTCGACCCAAAGATGTTACAGCAGCTGATGTTTCTAAAAACGTGTGAATGAACCTTGTTCGGTATGTTTCCAGTCTTTATTGAAATTGCTTGCAATGACTTTTTAAATCCAGCAGATGTCGCCATTAAGTGATACAGCAACACAGTTTCAACACAGTGTCACAGTTTGCGAAATATGCCATACACCCATTGGAGCCTCATGTGCCCATCACTAGTCTATTGGAGTCAGTCTCCCCACCATCACAGACATCTACACCTCCAGATGCAGGAAGAGAGCCACCTGCATCATGAAGGACCCCGCTCCCCTCAGGAAGGAGGTTGAGGAGCATTAAGAGTAGAACCATTAGACTGAGGAACAGCTTCTACCCTGAGGCTGTTAGACTCATGAATCTCCAACCAGAATAATCACGGTGCAAAAAAAAAATCACGTTGCTGCTGATCCGTTTCATGTTTGTGTTCATGTGTAGGGCAGCACGGTGGCGCAACTGGTAGAGCTGCTGCCTCTCAGCGAACAGGTCCCTGGTTCAAACCCTGGTCCAGGGGCCTCCTGGGTGGCGTTTGCATGTTCTCTCTGTGCATGCGTGGGTTTTCTCTGGGTACTCCGGTTTCCTCCCACAGACCCAAAACATGCATGTTAGGCTGATTGGTAACTCTAAATTGTCCCCAAGTGTGAGAGAGAGAGTGAATGGTTGTCTCTATGCGTCTCCCTGTGATGGACTTGCGACCCGTCCAGGGTGTACCCCGCCCCTCGCACAGCGATAGCTGGACATGGGCACCAGCTACCCCCGTAACTCAAAATGGAATAAGCGAGTAAAGATAATGGATGGATGTGTTCATGTGTGCTCATCTGCTCACAGACTCGTGCTCATGTTTGTGATGCTGCTCGACATGTTTTATGCTTTTAGTGTTTAGTGTATTTTTAGTTTTTTTTTTTTCATATCTTAGAGGTTATTGCTTTTACATTTTATTGTTGGCTGTAACTGGGACCTTGTGTACATAATTTCATTCGCACCACATGTGGTGCGAATGACAAGAATCTGACAGACTCTCTGGTATTGTTTAGCATATTTTAGCGCATTTCTTTGATCTTTATATACTTTAAATTTTTGGGTGTAACTAGGACACAATTTCACTCCATCTCATGTACCACGTGACGCAAATGACAAGAAACTTGAATAGAGACAAAGCAGATTCAAAATGTGGACATTAGGGGAAATACCTCTAAACAGTCTGGTTGTGATCTAACAGACATGTGGATGGTTTGGATGACATTTGACAATTCGGAGTTTAATAGGATAAAAACTGTCCAAACAGAAATCTGGTTTTAGTGAAATTTTTACAGCCGCTTCATCATATAGGGAATTTGAGGTACTAGTAGGAAAGATTTGAATTTTTTTAATTTTATTTTATTTATAAAGAATGTTATTAAGTCATCACTGCTTATAGTTGTAGGGATACATGGTTCAGATAATTATTCCTTAGTCTAGCTATGGTATTGAACAGAAGCCATTCTTGTCTGTTAAAAGATGAATAGTTTTATGGAAAGCTCTTATGTTAACAGACTCTCCAAGTTAGATAAAATTATTGCATTTAAATGTGTCATTTTATTTCCAGCTTTTTCATGCTTAAGAGGGTTCTGGTCTCCTATAGGGTACTTTAGTGTCTGGCATACTAAAGGTAATTTTTAAACAAAAGGATTGCTCAACTTTTTCCCACGGCAAGATGGGTGGGGGGAAAAGTCAAATGAATAGTTCACAAGACAGTGGTGAGACCAGCTATGTTGTATGGTCTGGAGACAGACAGACAAAAAGACAGGAGAAAGAACTGGAAGTAGCAGAAATTTAGATGTTTAGGTTCTTTAGGAGTGACGAGGTACAGCACAGGTTGAAGGACTGGGAGATAAAGTTAGAAGTCAGACAGGAGATGGTTTGGACATGTCCAGAGGAGGGACACTGTGTATATTGATAGAAGGATGTTCGAAATGAAACCGCCAGGAAAATGTGGATTGACGACATGGAGGTAGTGAGGAGAGTGAGGATGACTAGAAACCCCTGGAGGATCAACCGACAGACTAGATGGATTTAACGGTTTCCTAGTCAGACACATGTCGAGGTCTTAATTTAAAAGCTTCAATGCAGCTCTTTATTCTGCTTAAAGGCAGAAGCTCAGATTCATTTAATGCAACACCATGATACGATTCATGATCCTGAAGCAATGCAGACATTTACATTTTACCTTCACTTCATTTTAAAAGTTACCAAATTTTACATAATGGAGCTAAACTGAGAACATCTGAAATTTGAAGTGGTCCTTTACTGCCAAGATTTAAAAATTGTTTTTTGGCCTATTGGTAAACTTCAATCTTTTGTCTTTGAAAATGTTTTATTATTTCTTTAAGGATTTTGGGATTAAACTTTTAGTGGTTTACTTCGAAATTATGATTTTAACACATTTAGGACAACATTTGCTGCCTACTCCATTTAGTCAGATGAGTCAGTTCAAATATTGCTTTAAAGACCAGGCTGACCACACTACTCTTCCTTTCAACTTTTATTAATCTCAAATTAAAGCCTTTCCACGAACAGTGCTCTTTTAAAAACTGGAGTCAAAATGACAAGGTTTATTTTGCCATCATGAAGTTACAGTAGCTTTTTAAAGAGTCCAATAAGCTACATCAAGTCCTTTGAATCGGAAATTATGGATGTGTGGCAGTAACCAGGTCTCCATCAGTGTGACCAGTTCCTGTCAAGATAAGAGTGAGATTACTCCACATAGAAGACAGAATATGACGATATACAAGTCTGTCCACACACCTGGCAGCAGCTGCAGACTAAAGCGATGAGCCGGCTTCATCCCTTATAATAATTGGTCCCAACACTGAATTGAAACTCGTGCCGAGATGTGCTGCAAAGACATTGAGGCGTTAGTTATCCAGCAAGTCCAGAGGACGCGTTTTTAAAGTGCTGGGGAAGGCTACCCTGTTCAGAGGATCTTCTGGTGCGAGGTGTGCAGACCGAGTCACAGCAGTTACACAAGGAGCTTCTTGACGGGTCATCAAGTAGTTCCCAACTGAAACGGAAAATTTGTTACATACAAACTGCATTAACTTTTAAAAACTAATTTTAGAGAACCATTTAAAGTCTCAACATTTACTTCCCAAAATTAAACTCCTCTCATTCAGTACAGGAGTCAACATTCCAACCTTTTTGGAGGTTTAGCATCTTCAAGGGTCTACAGAATACAGAGGTCAACTCTGCAAGACCTTTACCTTCCATGTTCCTTCACATGGCAGGCCTTCCTTTGTCCATCAAGAACATTACTGTCCCAAACAACCAGGTTGCAGTGGATGTACACCTGAAGAGCACAAGTCAAGTAAACTAAAGAAAGTTGAAACCACTCGCGAGCAGGGAGCACTTCCTGAACTCACCTCTCCATTCAGACCAAACTTGAACGACTGCAGGTAGAGGATGATGGCAGAGGTGTGGTACCTGGGCAGGAACATTGAGCTTCCCCGCTTGCTGTCCAGGAGACAACTGTTAAAAAAAAAAAAAAAAAAAAGGTATATAAAATCATTTAATTGAAGCGCCTGATCAGGTGACCCAGCTGAATCGTACCCATTGTTGCCAATGATGGGGTAAACTTGGGCATCAGGGTGCAGCTCTGGTGTGGTGGCTGCAACACATTCATCCATAAGCATTAGCAGTGGCTGGTGGGCCTTTTGTTCCACTGCTGCCCATATAGGCATGAACGAACCCAGAGGGATCACGTTTGACTTTGCAACACCTGTCAATTGCTCTGAGGGAAGAAAAAAATAAAATTAAATTAAAAAAGTCATGATGGGACCTGGAAGGAAGAACGTGCATTCACCAGAGAACTTACCATTAAGAAGGGCCATATGGAAGACCAGCTTACTCTGACCTGAAGAAACACCTGAGCCAGGGTTAAGGAACTTGGGGACCCAGTCATCAGACCTGAAAGACCACATTTTAGTTCACCTAGAAGCAGACGATGGAGTCTCGAGACTTTGTTGCTGAACAGATGCTCTACCTTTTATAAACACATTTAATTGGATGCTTAAAAACAGCAGGTTTTGGTCTCCCCTGTGGCCTGAAGCTCAGTTCATTATGATACATTATGTGTTTGCCTTTAATCTGCAGAGAACAGAAAACGTTACTCAACGACAATCAGAAGTCGGTGAATATTGCAGAAACGTCACCTGTTTTGTAAACCTGCAGTCAGAAAATTTATAGTTAAAACGGGCTTCCCCCTCTCCAGTGGGTAGAAGTGTCCACTTCGATGGCATGCAGCTCCCGAGAAAGAACCGGGCCGCGTGTGGCACAAACTGGGGTCCTACCCTCCATATGACTCGCACGGAGTCTTTCGCACATATTACTTTGACATCTGCAGACAAATGGCCAAGGTCACAGCTCAGACAACAAAACCTCAAGATTTGCAAGTTTCTCCACGATCATGTGTGAGCAGACCAGTACCTGGTTCAGTGAGCGCTGTGGCTAAAACAGCCAAGATTACCACACCTAGACCAAAGTGAGTACCCATGACTAATAGGATCTGCACCTGGGTCAGACACTTACACTTTATACAACGCCTGGCTAATCAGACCAACGACGAACAGCTGGGTCCAAGCAGCGTCAACAATGACTGATATCTGGAAAAAGAAGGGCAGAATGTAGGACTAAATCATTTGTGAGCACAACGGATTTACAAAACAATAACAAAAAAATACACATTGTTTTTTTTTTTTAATTTTATGTTTTGGTAGCAACAAATGATCACAGGTTAAAGAAGTGAAAAAGAAATGTAAAAAAAGCGGAAAAGCTACATTGTCAACTGTTTCATGATGACACAAATAAATAAGTAAACATATTACATTGTTGTTTTGTTTTTGTTTTGTTGCTTTGAGCTAAAATAGCTGGATTAGCCTAATTAGCCTAAAGCACATCATAGGCCCAGTTCTTTATGTGCTTGTGTTTATCTGTCTAGAAAGAGATTTTTTTTTTAAATCATATACCATTTAGGGAATAAGAATGTGATTAGTTACATTGTCACATTCAAGCTAAATTACATAGCACTTCACTAATTAATTTATTCAAACTTTTTTGTTTCACTCATTTAAAAGGGAAATGTTACGTAAACACATTTACTTGTAGATAAACCGCTCATATTATAAACAGCTGATATTGATAAAATAAAAATGTATTAATTGATATTGATAATACAATTTAATGCAGTAAAAGTAAAATTTTATTTTATAACAGATTTGCCTTTTACGGAGCGGAACCATTGTGCTGCGATGTGTGTGCGACACCGTCTCTTTCTCGTTGTTACACGGGAAGCAGAGTCAGGATAGCTTCTCTAGCTAGTTGTGAATTGTTTGGTTCCCTGAGCAGCTCGGAGTCTTTATAATAGAAGTCTATTTATTCTTCAACATGCTGATCAAAGTGAAGGTGAGGTTTCCTCGTTTTATTGATAATTGGAGTTTCACCGCGGGGTTCTGGTGGGTTCTGACCCGGTTTGTCTAAAATAACCCCATGTTCTCAGCGAATGAATGAACTGCGTCAGGTTACAGATGGGAGATATTTATTAAAGGTTGGAAATAACTCGAGTTTGTTGTGATTATACATTTTAAAAGCTGTCATCGGTAACGTTAGATTGATGTTTGTGTGATTTTTTTAAACTTTTCTCATCGGATGTGCACCAAAATCAGTGGATTGTAAAGATATGGAAGCGCATAAATACACACAGACCCACGGTCTGGGACTGGAACAAGATGTAGAAAAATGCCTGCTGTTTTATTTTCGTATGAATTATTAATAAGCTTAACCGTGGTTTTAAATGGGAAGTGGTTACAAAAGCTTAAAATCATCATTATTATTAAAGTTTATGTACGTTTTTTTATGATAAATTTGCAGTAACTATTTCACGTTTATTTCTGCCTTTTTTAACGTCTTTCTAATAAAGATGAACATGTGAAGTTAATAAATTTTCAGCCAGGTTTACTGTCAGCCTGGAGTTTACTGAAAGTTGGTGTTTATTGTAGATGGAGACATTTTAACCTTCCTGTTGGTTCTTAAACCTTTCAGACCCTGACTGGAAAGGAAATAGAGATCGACATTGAGCCCACAGACAAGGTAACGGCTTGTAAATGTAAGAACTATGAAGTGATTATGTTCTGTTGTTTTAACGTTTGTTATTTTGAAGGTGGAGCGAATTAAAGAGCGCGTGGAAGAGAAGGAAGGGATCCCTCCGCAGCAACAGAGGCTCATCTACAGTGGAAAACAGATGTGAGCTCTTTTCTTCTGTAGCTGTTTGAGGACCGGCGTCAGACGTTCTCTAAACTGTATCATTCCCTCTACCCTCCGCCATCTTTAGGAATGATGAGAAGACCGCTGCAGACTACAAGATCCAGGGTGGCTCTGTGCTCCATCTTGTGCTGGCGTTAAGAGGAGGATGGAGGCCTCAGAGCTGCAGCACGCAGCTCGCCTCCTCGTCATGAGTTGCTGCTGACACGGGACCAGCTGAGTGCCAACACTTAGATGTTTGTGACTGTGTTGCAGCAGAATAATTAGGCTAATGCAACCAAGAAAAAAGAATGGCCCCACCAGAGAAAGGACATTATATTTCATTTGTAGAGTTTTTTTTGTTGTTGTAAGCCCTAACTGGCCTTTTCAGTCTGAGCAGGTGATGGAGACGTCTCCAGAAAAAGTTTGAACACACTGTTGCTTATGAATAAAGGCTGAAACAAAGTGTTGTTTTTTAATATCAAAGCATGGAATACAGACACCAAAACAAAAATTGCAAGATTGTTTTTATTAGAAAATATCATTCTGAATATTTAAAGACAATCTTGACAGCTGACAGAATAGTGTTTCTGCTCATTTCACATTTTTAGTTCAGGTAGTGACGAGAAGCTGATTTTACTGACATCATACTGGGGTCAAAATTCCTCGAGACTCATCTGTAGAGTTTCAAAAACAGTCAATATGAAATACGAGTCCCTAAGTTAATATGAACATGCTGGTTTCATCAAGAGGTTCGTTTACGGCAACAGATTGAGGTTTTTCCATAAACTTGTTTTCATTGTGCTTAATGCTTATTCATTTAGATATATTCATTTAATATAAATAATCAGTATTTAAGATGTTCATTATGTAGGCAGGACTGCTGAAGGTCTTAATTTATTATACATGATCTTCATAAATAAATCAGTTTTAATTGTCTGTAAACAATCAATAATAATTAATATTCAGGTAAACGGTTGCTTCTCTGGGAATGAAAACAGAAACCTGATTATAAAATATTGTTGACCTCCAAAGAACACGTTTGAGAAGGTGATAAAAGGCACAGAGGAATGGATCAGGAGCTGAACACACAAACAAGGTTGTGCTTCAACGTTTATCCTTAAGGTTCATGTTTTAGTCTTCTAAAAAATCAAGCGTAATTAAAATAAATACGAGTAAAGTAGTCCCTCGTTTATCACAGAGGATCTGTACCTTGAAGCCCCGCGATGTGAAAAACTGAAATAAGGACAGTTGTACAAGTAGTAGTTTATATTATATATAAAGGTGTTTTGAACCCTTCCCACACTTACAATATTCTAAAAGAGCACAGAATGTCATGATTTCCTTCTCTGTGCCTCCGCTGCTCTCAGCCACCTGCCAGCGCTCTTGGCCACGCCCACCTTCTGGCTCTGCACAGAGAACAGCTGATCAGCTGCAGCAGGAAGTTTATCCTGCAGTGTGGGCTGCACAAATGTGCAGCAGGTGCTATATAATTTAAAATAATTTATTTTAAATAAAAAAACCATGCTGATTGTGCTGCTCATCCATCAATCAGACAATTGTGTGCCATGTCCAATCTTATTTTGAAAAACCGCGATAAAGCAAGTCCGCAAAAAATGAACCGCGAAGTAGCGAGGGACTACTGTACTGATTCACTTGTTAGTCATTTGAACCGTCCAGAAAGAATAAAGTGTTTTCAGAGGTAGGGCTGTGAGAGGAGTGATGTGTGTCTGAACTTAGCTTGGAGTCTTCAAAAACTAAAAGTCTGAGCCATCTGGTGGTTTAAAATTCTGAATGCTGAAGGTATCCCTTAAAATTTACATTAAAACTAAGATTTTCCTCTAAAGGTAGATGAAGCTAATTTAAAGAAATAAAACCGTTCAGATCGGTTCATCTGTTCAAATCCCGAAATGTAAAAAAGTTTATGGACTTGAATAAAATCTCTTGCTGTGCATCGTCTGTCAGGTTGTGACTGCAGCCACGCCCTCCACCCACAAATAAAAGCAAAAATAATTTAAACAGTTCATCAGGTGTGCACCATCAGGAGTTTGTGTTCCTGATGAGTAGAAAAACTTCTGAACCTTCAATCAGAATTCTTGCAAAATAAATAGTAACATAAACCCAGCAGCAGACGGACTCCATGAGTCAGCTGGATCCTGGTCCTTCCACGCGGTCCTGTTGTGCGGCCGTCAGAGCCCGGTGACACGGAGTCCAGGGAAGGAGTCGATCTGGACCATGTCCTGAACAGTCGACCCTTGGCTGGTGTACGAGACACGGATCCTCATTTTCAGGTGAACCTGAGGTGCACAGGAAGCATCAAGAAGCTGATTTCTGCTACAGAGAGGCAGCAGCTGTTATTTGTGTGCATGTTGGATTCTGCAGACCCACCTGGTTTGGGTTGTTGAGGACCACCAACTGGGTCAGTTTAGCTGCTCCTCGAGCAGGAAGGGAGTCCCTGCTGGGGGCCTTCATGTGTAACTGCACGCTCTGGAGGGTCAAGCCAAACAAGTTAAAGCAAATTTAGCTTGATTCATATTTTCTGACCAACAACTTGACAAAAAACAGCATAATGCTGAGATTTGAAGGTGAGTACAAAAAAAAATGCTTCAACTTTCAACTTTGCCTCTTCAGGGTCTCCACAGAGAGTCGTCCTCCTCTGTCTCACTCTGTCCTCACTCCAACTTCCTCCATGTCCTCTCTAACTGCATCCATATATCTCCTCTTAGTCTTTTTCCTGGCAGCTGCATTTCTAACATCCTTCTACCAATATACCCACAGTCCCTCCTCTGGACATGTCCAAACAACTGTCCCTCCTCTGGACATGTCCAAACCACTGTCCCTCCCCTGGACATGTCCAAACCACGATCCCTCCTCTGGACATGTCCAAACCACTGTCCCTCCCCTGGACATGTCCAAACCACGATCTCTCCTCTGGACATGTCCAAACCACTGTCCCTCCCCTGTACATGTCCAAACCACTGTCCCTCCCCTGTACATGTCCAAACCACAGTCCCTCATCTGGACATGTCCAAACAACTGTCCCTCCTCTGGACATGTCCAAACAACTGTCCCTCCCCTGGACATGTCCAAACAACTGTCCCTCCTCTGGACATGTCCAAACAACTGTCCCTCCTCTGGACATGTCCAAACCACTGTCCCTCCCCTGGACATGTCCAAACTACTGTCCCTCCCCTGGACATGTCCAAACTACTGTCCCTCC